AGGAGGTCATCATAGTGTTTGCTTAAGGACCTGATGTTGTAGGGGAGTTAGTAGATGGGGAGATGGAGGTACAGTATTGGGTAGATGGCGGGAATATTTTGAGGAACTTTTAAATGTCGACGAAGAAAGGGAGGCGGTAATTTCATGCATTGGCCAGGGAGGTATACCATTTTTTAGGAGTGAAGAAGAGCAGGATGTGAGTGTGGGGGAGGTGCGTGAGGCATTACGTAGAATGAAAGGGGTAAAGCAGCTGGAACTGATGGGATCATGACAGAAATGTTAAAAGCAGGGGGGATATAGTGTTAGAGTGGTTGGTATTTTTGTTTAATAAATGTATGAAAGAGGGGAAGGTACCTAGGGATTGGCAGAGAGCATGTATAGTTCCTTTATATAAAGGGAAGGGAAACAAAAGAGATTGTAAAAGTTATAGAGGAATTAGTTTACTGAGTATACCAGGAAAAGTGTACGATAGGGTTATTATTGAAAGAATTAGAGGTAAGACAGAATATATAAATTGCGGATGAGCAAGGAGGTTTCAGAGTGGGTAGGGGATGTGTAGATCAAGTGTTTACATTGAAGCATATATGTGAACAGTATTTAGATAAAGGTAGTAAAGTTTTCATTGCTTTTATGAATTTAGAAAAGGCATATGATAGAGTGGATAGAGGAGCAATGTGGCAGATGTTGCAAGTATATGGAATAGGTGGTAAGTTACTAAATGCTGTAAAGAGTTTTTATGAGGATAGTGAGGCTCAGGTTAGGGTGTGTAGAAGAGAGGGAGACTACTTCCCGGTAAAAGTAGGTCTTAGACAGGGATGTGTAATGTCACCATGGTTGTTTAATATATTTATAGATGGGGTTGTAAAAGACGTAAATGCTAGGGGGTGGGATTAAATTATGGGGAATCAAATACAAAATGGGAATTGACACAGTTACTTTTTGCTGATGATACTGTGCTTATGGAAGATACTAAAGAAAAATTGCAGTGGTTATTGGACTTTGACAATTTACCACACTTGGAATCACTTCGAGGACAGCGTGAAACAAGCTTTTATGCCACAAGACGGGCAGAAAGCAGCAACTTCTCTCTGGCTGTACCCTTCTCCAGAACATAACTCCATCTGAGATCATATATGCCCAGGATGACTCGAGTATGGAACACATTCGTACAGCATAATGATGTCAACGAGATAAAGTCAGTTGAACAAATGAAAATGTTGGCCCACAGATGGCCCCAACTTCATCCTGTTCCCTACTTGTATGTCTCATAACAATAAAAATGCTTTCAAATGAGCTGATGTAGGTAACAGCTCTTTGCTTGCCAATAAAGTTAGGAATCCTTAACCTGTAAATAGCTTGTCAATAAATCTAGGATCCTCTCCCTCTCTCTCTCTCTCTCTCATTCTCTCTCATTCTCTCTCATTCTCTCTCTCTCATTCTCTCTCTCTCATTCTCTCTCTCTCATTCTCTCTCTCATTCTCTCTCTCATTCTCTCTCTCTCTCATTCTCTCTCTCTTTCTCTCTCTCTTTTCTCTCTCTCTCTCATTCTCTCTCTCTCTCATTCTCTCTCTCATTCTCTCTCATTCTCTCTCTCTCTCATTCTCTCTCATTGTATGAAACACAGTGTGGTTGGTCAGGTACTGACTAGGTGCCTGTCCAGCTCCTTCTTGAAGACAGCCAGGGACCTATTGGTAATACCCCTTATGTATGCTGGGAGGCAATTGAACAATCTTGGGCCTCTGACACTTATTGTGGTATTCCTTTGCTCACACTCCAACAGCAAATCATAAGAGCCACTTGCTTCCACTCACTCCTATCTAGGACTCACACAACCCTGTTTAACAGGATGACCAAGTCCCTCGCACTCAAAACCTTCATCCCCTCCCTCTAACCTTTTCTAGGACAACCCCTCCCTACTCCTCCTCTCTTCAACCAAGATTCATTGCCCTCCATAGTCATTGTATTTTCCTTCATCCTTTCTAAATGCACAGACCACCTCAACAATCTCCTCATCCCTCTGAATAATTCTTTTGATGACTCCACACCTCCTAATCTCCAAACTCTAAATTCTCTGCATAATAATCATACCATACATTGCCCTCAAACATGATATCTCCAGTGTCTCCAACTTTCTTGCAGTAACATTCAAAAACCCATGCTTCACACTCATATAACAGTATTTGTATCACTATACTCTTGTTCATTCCAACTCTTTGCCTCCTTGGATAATGTTCTTTGTCTCCACAGATTCCTCAGTGCACTAGACCTGTCTTTTTCCCTTTATCAATTCTATGGTTCACCTCATATCTGCTGACAAAGTCCTCTCCCAGATACAGGCAGGCTAGATTCCAGGCTGCTACTGCTGTAAAGTGAAACAGTCTTTTTTTTTCACTTTCAAATGCATATAAAAGCCAGATAACATCTTTATGTTATCATGTATTAAGTGAGCAATACAGCTAAAACCTAAGATGTGCATATACAGTGCACACATTACTCACCTTAATTTTTTTTTTTGTTACCTCTGTACTATAAATTTTTCTAATAATTTTTTACTAGCTCCATTTTTCTTTAATACACAATTAAAATTGACCACTTCATAACCTATGTCTAGTTTTAAGTAGACTATAAGCGTTAGGATTAGTCTGCCCAAAATACTCATGCATGATAGTGGCATGCTGCATTTAACTGTATTCTTTTGTACTACACTGTATCATGTTCAAATTAATAAATAAATAAATAAATGAAAATGATATATAATTTTATTTTAGTATGATACATGTTTGTACAAAGGAGTATAACAACTGGATGTACATGGCAAAAACCCCTTTACGTGCAGAGCATTTTAGGCAAACTTAAGACTAACTTAAGATTAATAGGCAATAACAGTGCAGTAATTGTACATACAGTCATTAGGTGAGTTACAATGAATACAAGAAAATTAAATATTCTATTAGTTCATGCTATATGGTTTTACTAAGTTTTTATTAATAATACTTTATTACATGTAAACTACAGTTTGTATGCTACACAAAGAAATAAAAATTTGAATTTAGCTTATAGTGAGTGGTTAATATATTTATTATAGGATCAAGGGGCTAGTAACCCCTTCTCCTGTATAAATTACTAAATTTAAAAGAGAAACTTTCGTTTTTCTTTTTGGGCTGCCCTGCCTTGGTGGGATACGGCCGGTGTGTTGAAAGAAGTCTGAATAAATGAAGAATGGGGATAACTGAAAACTGCTGTATCAGCAAACTGGTGTAAAGCTGCGCCTGCTTGTATCTGAACACATTTACTTCTCCTGGTCTAATATCCAGTCTCATATTGCCTGTATTTTTTGCTACTCTCATCACATTGTAATTTCCTGTTTACACTCCCAAAGTCATTTATCAACCTTTGCAACTTCTCTTTCAGATCTCTGAAATGAACCATATCATCAGCAAAAAAATAAGAAAAAAAATAAAAATAAAAATGTTTATTTTCTTGTAAAGTTTACAATGTGTGGTTAACGTGTTATAAAATATTAATTACAAAGAAGGCCACTAGCATGCCTAGGCATTTCGGGCAAACTGATACTAATACAGCCTCTCCTCACTTAATGATGGAGATCCGTTCCTAAGACCTCATCAGTAAACAAATTCGTTACTGAGTGAGGAGCATACTATAATGGGTTTGTATCAACCATTTATTATATTGTTTTAATGTCACCTTTGCACCATTTATAACATTTCTGGTATATTTTTAAATGTTTATACAGTAATGGAAAGTATATTGTAATACACAGAATAGAAGAAATCAGTTTTAATATACATTATTTAGGTATAAATACTGGTCAGAGAACCCGTCGTAAGTCCGAATCGTCAGTAAATGAGTACGTTGCTAAGTGAGGAGAGGCTGTACTAAGAAGCAATAGTAACAACTTCCACTCCCTATCCTAACACCCTAGCATGCACTTCTTAAACAACCCATCTATAAATATGTAAATCATGGTGATATCACAGAGCCCTACACTAGGCAAGTACAGTGAATGCTCATTTGCTGGTGACACCCAGTTTTGGTTCAGTGGAGCACTAAACCTGTAGTGATTATACAGCACATATGGGGAAGTGGGGAAATGCAAGACATTCAGGCTTAATTGAGGGAACTGGAGCACAGATCCAGTTCCTTAGATCAAGAGCCCCTCACCAGCATCAAGCAACCTCCCTTGAGGGGGAGTTGTAGTTCAACGAAGTGGTTGATCGGTTTCTTGTCGGTGTAAAGCTTTGTCAAGTACAGTAATGGCGTGATGTAGATAATTGTACTGCAGTAATAGATTCTTTGAAAATACATCTCTGAACTAAGAAATAAAACTTTTGATTTGAAGTTACATTATAAACTAAATGTGGAAATTTCCAAATGGTCTGGAACTTGAACCCTCTATGATTGAGTGAGCTTCATGTAAAAGTTGAAGGAGGAGTATGTAATAATAGTCATGTTGACAGACTTTCAACCAAATAGTAATGGCACTTTTTTTTGTTTTTTTTTTTTGAATAATTGCTCTAGCTATATAGCAGCAGCTTGACTATAAATTAATACCCTATTTGAAATTAAGAAATTATTTTTTATAACAAAAATCATAAGAAAACAGTAACTTAGATACAGTGATTTAATAATACATAATGTTAAAGAGAACTTTTGTGGGCTCTTGAAGTAGGAAAAGTGGGAACTTTATACAGTGGACCCCTGGTTAACGATATTTTTTCACTCCAGAAGTATGTTCAGGTGCCAGTACTGACCGAATTTGTTCCCATAAGGAATATTGTGAATTAGATTAGTCCATTTCAGACCCCGAAACATACACGTACAAACGCACTTACATAAATACACTTACATAATTGGTCGCATTCGGAGGTGATCGTTATGCGGGGGTCCACTGTATTTTACTATACACAGCTTTAAATGTAATTAACTTGTTTTACTTTTACACTCTAATGTTATTGGTATTTTTGCGATATTATTTACAGAGACAAATGCTGAAGTACCTCATCAAGGACAATCCGGTGTTACATTTTCTCTCTTTGGAGAGTCTTCATCACCAAAACCAGACAGCGGTGGCTTCTTCAGTTTTAACTTTGGAAGTGATGCTGATAATAACCCAGAATCAGGTAGTTCTGGGTTTTTATCTTCACTCTTTAGTAGTCCCACCAAGGACAGCAACTCTCAAGGAGGAGGAGCAGGATTTAAGTTCTTCTAAAAGAGAAAGTTCAAAATAACTGTAAAATTTACTGTGCATTTACTTTTATTTACCAACAGGAGAAATTTAAAAACCTAAAGGGTAACATGTCAGTCAGCATTTTCTTTTAATTTTCTATACTTATTTATTGATTCTATAATTTGAGAATATGTGTTACATTAAACAGGTACAGAGTGGTACCCCGAGTTTCGGCCGTAATTCGTTCCAGAAGGCTGTTCAAATGCCATTACTGAATGAATTTGTTCCCATAAGGAATAATGTAAATTAGATTATTTCGTTTCAGACCCCAAAAATACACTTACAAAAGCACTTACAATAATACACTTACATAATTGTTAGAGTTGGGAGCTGTACGAAACTCGGTACCACTGTAATTCAGAAATTTTTTAATGTTTTTCTAGCTTTATTATTAGTAGCCCAAGAATGGCCTTGGTTATTTTTTTTTTAAATAGATGTTCACATTATGTAATTATTTCAGAAAGTGTCAAACAGTGCTTATTTTTTCAGAATAGACATTCACATTATATAATTCTTTTTTTTTGGGTCACCCTGCCTCGGTGGGAGACGGCCGACTTGTTGAAAAAAAAAAAAAAAAAAAAAAAAAAATCATCAGCATTGTAGAAAATGTAGGCAGTCATATGAGGTGATGCAAATAGTATTTACAAACTTAGCTGTGGCAAAAAATACATTAAAACAGTTCAGTATTTTTGTATGTTACAATAAAAAAAAAAGGACAAAAATGGTGCTTTAAATTATTTTTTATCCGAGTTGAGATGTGAAGTTTGCTCTTCCTCTTGACAATACCTTGTGGTGGCAGATATTATATCAGTCTTCACAAGTAACTCACACTTAAGGCATGAAAGTTTACATGACATTTCAGACCATACTGGACTACTGTCAGGTCACAAGTGAGAACAATTAAGACCAGAATAATGTCTGGGAAGAGAGAGGGAGGGAAAGGAAGGTGGTAATAGTAGTAGAAATAAAAATAATAATAGTAGTAGAAAAAGTAGTGTTAAGTAGTAGTGCAAATAGTACAGTATTAGTAGTACAAATAGCAGTTCAGTACTAGTAATGGTGATAAATTACTACTCAAAGGAATTGAAGAGTAAGTAATTCCAACACTGGTTACCAAGGGGCTCACAAAAGAACAAAGAAAACATGAGCAAAGCTGTAGTGTTAATGCACATGCTAGGAAGCAAAGAAGAAGCAGGAGAAAATTGGTAGACAGGAAAAGTGAAGGAAGTGCTTTACATAAGGCCAATCAAGAGAAGAGGTGAAAAGGCAAAGTTCAGGTCAAGTCATCCATATACTTCAGATTTAAGTGTTTAATAGTGTATTAAGAAAAGTTGGATTCTACATAAATAAAACCAGGACTAAGACTTGTTAGAAATGTTGTATATAAGATTTGATTCAGCAAGGCAGCCACTATGAAGGCTAGATGAAGGGTAGATAGTTGAAGTAGAGGGCTAATCTATAGGATGGCCCTAAAATATGGAATTCATTACCAGAAATATTAAAGTAACCCAGTCTGAAAATCAGTTTAAGACTTCTCAAAAGCCACTTAATCACCCTAGACTAAATGCTAAAAATTCAATACACACATACTCACCTATGTACTCCCATATCATAACTTCAACAATCACTTTGAACCTCTTATCCATTGTTGACAGGAATATAATTGAACCATTGTTTTTCACAATAACCATTTTAGACTATACGAATATATCCTTTGTCTTCTACAAATTTAATTCACTTATAATTAATAATCTACTGTTCAACTATGAAATAATTACTATCCTACTGTACAACTATGATAAAATCCTTAGTATTAAGTAGTCTGTAAGCCAATAATGTTAAGTTGGCCCATAATGCCTAGGCATAATAGAGGCTCTCTTTGCATTGCAACCCACTATTGTAAATATAAAATCTCAGTGTACTGTTTGCAGACATAAAATAAATAAATAAATAAATATTGACAAAAAAGTGTTGCAAGTGCCTGCATTGAGAACTTTTATTTTTGGTTCTTCAAGTCTATCAGAGCGAGTTGCCAGTGTCACTAAAAGTATTGAGATGGCAGGAGAAGGCATTGGAATATTCACTGGAAACATCATTGACAGGAATAAAACTATGAACTGGATTCCTATAAAATGTATTAATTTTGCAGCATGCAAGTTTGATATCAAGAGGATTGAAGGCATTACACAAATAACCTGCACATAGAAGAGAGGAGCTTACGATGACGTTTCGGTGTGACTTGACCAAAACATCGCCGTAAGCTCCTCTCTTCTATGTGTGGGTTATTTGTGTATTGTTTCCACTCACGGTATTGTGCCTTTTTTGTTATTTATGAAAGGTGTTATGATTTTATTGAGTGGACATGTAGGGTAAGCAAAGCACAGGTTTTTGAGGAGAAGTTGGGAGCTTAGAAGAGAAAAAAGTCTGTTTGGAATCTCGATGATTCACGTTTGTTCTTCCCAGCTTGTGTGTATGAAAGCTCACTTGCTAAAACTTCACTCGTAATCTTTTTTTTACTCATTCTCATGGTATTGCAGTATACACTGATAATTCTAAATCCCCTGATGGTAGATGGCATAGTTTATGAAATTGAGAGGATAGACAAGTTAAAAAAAAACACTAAAATGTGGCAGTTTCAGAGTTGAAAAATTGAGGATCACAGATGTGACAGACACAGAGAAAGAAACAAGAACACTTTTCTTGACAGGAGGAACACGGTCCAAGTTGGACCGAAACGTCGTTGTAAGCTCCTCTCTTCTATGTGCGGGTTATTTGTGTATCGTTCCAGTCATGGCATTGTGTTTTTTTTTGTTATTCATGGTAAGAAAAAGAGTGAATGTACGAAGGCTTGCAGTAGATGGAGAAAGAAAAGTCTGTTATAGAGCATGGATATGAACATCAGGGGAAGGAAGCCATGAGCTTGATTCCACTTCAGTTTTGAACATTATAGAGGATGCAAGACTGTTAATGACATCAAGAATGAGTTGCAAGAAACTAATCATATTGGCCCGAGAGCAAAGACATCATCCACAGAGTAAAATTAGAGAAGATGGATCCCTAATAGTAGGAAGTAGGAACATCTTCAAAATACTCCATGAGAAAGGTTATTAAGAATGGGAAAGAGGTGTGTGCTTAGCAACACCAAAGATTTGAGAACAGAAGTTGCCTTGGAAGAAAAATAAAGTAAAAATCCACACAAAGATGAATAACAACAAAAAAGACATTAGTAAATATAGGGAGATGAAGTAGCCCTTCATTAGCCTTTACTCTGAGAAAACTGAAAAACATCAAGACAAACATTAGTCAAAAGAGAGGCTCAACAGGTCAAGTATGGCATAAAGGGGACATCAAGCTTGTGAGTTAATGGAAGGCCATAGAAATAAGGCATAGAGGGATAGATCAAATCAGGATCTTTTTCTCCTGCTCACCTCCATCACTCAAGACACAGTGAACATTCACAGCCACATCCTACTTGTAAGATGCCAAGTCATGATGTTGAGCCTCTATATAATGTTCCTCTTGTTGCTCTTAGTTTTTGCAGAGTCAAAGCCAATAAAGGGCTATTTCATCTTATTCCAACTTAGATCTTTCTTGATTTTATTTCTGTGTGTAGACTTTTTATCTTCCACAGTATCTTATATTCTCAAACCTGTGGGTATTGTAATGAGCTCATGTCTATCCCATGTTCTTGCAAATTTCTTTCTGCAGTATATCATGTTCTACATCCTACTATTAGAGCATGTCCTTCTCTGACTTCACTATGTACATGAGTAAGGCATGTTCCACAGTTAGTTATTTTTATTGTAGACCCCTGGCTGTTTTCAAGAAGGCACTGGACAGGCACCTAAAGTCAGTACTGACCAGCCGGACTGTGGTTCATACATCAGTTTGTGTGTGGCCAGCAGTAACAACCTGGTTGATCAGACCCTGATTCATCACGAGGCCTGGTCTCAGACTGAGCCGCGGGGGCATTGATCCCCGAAACCCTCTCCAGGCATACAGAGTAGGCTTCTTCAGTCAAATCATACTATCGAAGATACGGTACTATGTTCCACAGTCAGCCCTCCTGGCCCTTTATCACTCTCTTATTTACCCCTATCTCACCTATGGAATTTGTGCATGGGGCTCAACAACAACTAACCATCTCAGACCACTAATTACCCAACAAAAGGCTGCAGTTAGAATGATAACAAATTCTCACTACAGGCAGCACACTCCACCAATATTCAAAACACTCAACCTACTCACCATAAACCTACTCACCATACAAAACATCCATACTTATTATTGCACTTGTTACATACATAGAACACTTAACTCTGATATTAACCCTCCCTTCAAACATCTTGCCAACCTCAACAGAACACATGACCATAATACAAGGCACAGATCACTCTTTGATGTTCCTCGTGTCCATCTCACGCTATGCAAAAACTCAATGCACATAAAAGGCCCTAAAATCTGGAATTCATTACCTGTAAATATAAAAGAAACACTACCTGTTATAAATTCAAGTCTCTTCTCAAAGTTCACTTACTCACTCAAAACCAAATAAATACTGAATAACTGAACCATATAAATTGTATATCCTAAATGTTACTCACAATTATATCACACAAATGTTAAACCTAACTTTGTTATTTTTTGAAATACACTACCTAACAGAATACTCCATTCTACTGAATGAACAGCAATGCAAGCAACCATTGGACCTGTTTTTGTAATACTCATTTGTGCTTTATAGTTATCTGTTTACAATAATGTCTTATCACTGATTTCATCATTGCTTAGTTAATCTTAAAGTTAATTTTAAGCCAGCCCGTAATGCTATGCATATAAGTGGCTTTGGCATGCTGCTCTTACCTGTATTTTTTGTACCTCTGTTTGTATGCTAAATTTCTAAATAAATAAATAAATAAATGCTGGGTCTACCCCGTTTTATGCTGGGTTTACCCTGAGCAGCATAATCTACATGAAGCCCAACCAGATATAAATACAAAGGTAAATAAATATTAAGACAAATAGTGGTGAGGTAAAGATGATGTGATCAGTCCTAGAAGTAGAAGTTTTTGAGGTGGTCAATCCCTCAGCCTGGAGAAGAGTTTAGCTCCATAGTCTCGAACAGTGTGAAGGTGAATTATGAGAATGGAGCCTTATATACACTGGCAAAGGTGAAGCATGGAAAGTTTCAGATATCGTAGGATGCAGAGCAAACTAGTAGAAGCAATATATGGCTTCATTCTCATACTTCAGCTTCACATTGTTTCAGGCTGAGGGATTGACCACCTCATAAATTTCAAGGTTGATGGACTGATCACATCATGTTTACTCCTACTGTCACCATATTTATTTTCCTCTGTATTTGACTGAAGAAACCTAATGTGTAGGTGAAATGTTTCAATAATTAAGATACATATAGTCGGACTTGAGTCCTGGAAATGGGAAGTACAATGCCTGCACTTTAAAGGAGGGGTTTGGGATATTGGCAGTTTGGAGGGATATGTTGTGTATCTTTATACGTATATGGTTCTAAACTGTTGTATTCTGAGCACCTCTGCAAAAGCAGTGATAATGTGTGAGTGTGGTGAAAGTGTTGAATGATGATGAAAGTATTTTCTTTTTGGGGATTTTCTTTCTTTTTTGGGTCACCCTGCCTCGGTGGGAGACGACCGACTTGTTGAAAAAAAAAAAAAAAAAACATAACTCTTGCATCTTGAGATGATGTTCTTATTGATACCAACATCACTGTCACACTCAGGTCACACTACACATATTCATGCATATATAGTTACACACCCATCTGGGTTTTCTTCTATTTTCTAATAGTTCTTGTTCTTCTTTATTTATCTCCATGGGGAAGTGGAAAAGTATTCTTCCTCTGTAAGTCATGCATATCATAAAAGGCAACTAAAATGCCAGGAGCAAGGGCTAGTAACCCTTTCTCCTGTATAAGTTACTAAATTTAAAAAGAAAATAACAGGTCACCCTGCATTGGAGGGATACGGCTGGTCTGTTAAAAAAAATGTACATGTGTCATACTCATCTTCACACACCTGACTGGTCACATGAATGGAGTCTCTTCCAACCTGTTCTTGATGCCCTTAACACTTCCTCCCACTATCAACTTCAAACCTGAGTGGTTTAGCTTAATATCTTCTGTTGGGTTTCAGGGCCACTGACAGCATATGACGTTTAGTTTAATATCATTATTATAATCATACCAATTGCTTCCTTTCTTTGATGTTTATATCCACCACTCTGTGACAACTTTCTCCTTTTACATCAACCATAAACCATTCAACAACATCATGTACGTTCTCCACATTTCATACCATGCTCCTGATATCTAGATAAGATTTCGTTCGGATTTTTAACTCCGGAGGGTTAGCCACTCAGGATAACCCAAGAAAGTCAGTGCGTCATCGAGGACTGTCTGACTTATTTCCATTGTGGTCCTTAATCTTGTCCCCAGGACAAGATTAAGGACCACAATGGAAATAAGTCACCCAGATGTTACACGTGTGTCTTAATTTCATCTTGTCGGTATTGTATACCATTCTTGTACAACGAGAAATTTCTTCTTGAGCAGTTGCTTTAACAAGAGATTTAAGGAAGGGATTACTAGCAATGAGCTTCTTGGGAGGACTTGTAGGTATGTGATATTAAATGAACACATCTTCCATGGAGGAGTGAAATGCTCTTGTTGTCTACAGTGATACAGTTCATGTAGGTTATAAAAGAGTAACGTCACTGATGCTAAAACGTATAATTTTAAAAATAGGTTAGATAAATTGTACATAAATGGTATTCAGTACCGACAAAATAAAAATAAGACACATGTGCAACATCTGGGTAATTTTATTGCAGACGTATCGCCATCCAGTGGCTTTATCAATACAAATTCAAGGACATAACTATCATAATGTGTCTAATTTTCATCAGGTTAGACAAATACATGAA